AGTGGGTGAGAGCTGGAAACGAATAATAGTCGCGCACTAGTGGAGAGGGGAAATCAGGTGTTCCCGAGCAAGCACCAATGTCGAGAGAGAATCTATTGAAATGGAGCTTTGTGCTAGTGGGCAGGCGTGCAGGGGTCTAAATCAGTTTTCGTTGTCAGGTCAAGTCATCTCACAATTGTCAGATTAGGACCTTTCTGATTTGTTGTAGCAAGTCTAAGCCTAAGCCAAAGCCTAATCCTGACCGTAGGCTTCAGTGATTGCTTAGCTGCGGTGACCTGACTTAGGATGAAAACTGAACGTCTGCTGGTGTGCAGAGATAGGGTACCCGACAGGAGGCCCGTCGCGCGGCAAGAAGGCAGAGTCAGCGGACGAGTCGCAGCGCGTGATGTGCGATGTAGGACGTACAATGGTACATTCTATTTAACTTGACGCGAAATCACTACAGTACGCGCTGCGACTCGTCCGCTGACTCTGCCTTCTTGCCGCGCGACGGGCCTCCTGTCGGGTACCCGCAAAGATGACGATGATCACTCTATGAAGGTCCAACTATTGCATGCATGGATGAATAAGTAAATGAGTGGATAAATGTCCTTTTTACAGCGGCCAATGGATGCAGCAACGGCAAGCACACCTCAAGCTGTGGACGATCAGGGTGAGACAGTTTCTCCATATGTTTCTCTTTATCTACGTACTCTCCATCTCAATACGAGAACTGATTCCGGAGGAAAAAAGCGAAGAAAGAAAAACTCCAGATCCGCTACTGGCTGGTCATTAAAAACCTTTGGACCGTTTGTAGGAACGAGCTCTTGCCCTGCTTGAAATATGACCTGGATTTGTCATCGCGGAGATATGTAGACCGTAAAGTTTTACACGGATGACCTCTCAAATATTTCTCTTTGAAAATTAACAGTCAGCAGATATATTTCGCTGATATGCATACCCATGATGTGGGTGCAATTGTCAACAATTGTTGACAGATGCAGGAAGGCTGTCTTCGATGGTATGGTCATAATCTTCGCGCGAAGGATGGCAGGGTACGTAAGATTGCAGGGTACCCCCCAGGAGGCCCATCGCGCGGCAAGAAGGCAGAGTCGGCGGACGAGTTGCAGCGCGTGGTGGTGTGACAAAGGACGTGCAGTGGGACACTCTATTCAACTTGACGCGAAATCCCTATAGTACGCGCGCGACTCGTCCGCTGACTTTGCCTTCTTGCCGCGCGACGGCCTCCTGGGGGGTACCGTTAAGATCAGTTTCAGCCGTGACGTGCGTGTGTGTGGCCTAAGGGACGCCTGAAACAGCTTGGCACGATATTTAGCACAAAAACTTGAAATTGGTTAACATCCACCCTGATCAAGCATTCAATCGGGAAAGTGGCGCCAGCATATCACAAAAGCGGACCCCGCCAACAAATGGGGCAAACGCTAAGGAAGAAGAAGAACAAAAGAAGATGTGAGCTCGTCAAGAAGTGTTCGCGGATGTGGGTCATTTATTCAGCCGCGAAAATCCCAAACAATTAGTCAGTTAGTGGAGACGTGACGTATTTGACAGCATGTGTTGTATAATGCGCAACTTGTTTTAGACCGCTCCATGTTGTTTGGATCATTATGATAGGAATAAATTTGGGAGTAGCAATAATCTCCTTTCCTGAAGAATTTTTGCGAAATTTTCTCTAAACTTCACAAAATTCTCCTGCTTGTCTGAATATTTTTTCTCACCGTGTTGTCAGAATAATTACAATAGCCGTTCTTCATGACCAAATTTATAAATATACGAGGAAACTGTTTAACATATGCGACGCCGTGGATGAACTCCGCTCAGCGTACAGTTTGATCCCACCTCTACTCCCTCCACAGCTGGTCCATAAACCCCTAGAGAAAACGTTCGTATTTGTATACTGGAGTCCAATAAAGGCAGGTTAGAGCCATTTTGAAAGCCGTGAGCTATTTGGAATAGTCAGCATTATCTCAAGAACAATCAACTTATTAATTTGTATCAATGTCACTAAGTCCTAGGGATCTGCATTGTAAGGCACACCTTGAAGCAGGACTCCACCAAAAGGTCGGAGGTCGAAGAAAGGGAAGTACTCATATCTAGTGGAAAGACAAGTGGGGCGATGCGGGCTCCTCAGCGAAGCGTATGCTCCAGCGGCCTAGCGGGTCATATCCGCGCCGCTGGCGCCACTGCATGCCCACATTCTAGCTGTCTGAACTAGCCGTTCAGCAGAGATAGTGTTGAAGAGGGCAGCATTGATGCGAGTCACATCAGTCCTGAAACAAGGGGCAAGGAAGAGACCCCATTTCCATTTCTCGGGTTCTGAGCCGTTTCTCATGGATTTCCTGTACCACTGACCGCCGCTACCGTAATGGGCTGCCTTCTAATCGTGAAATTCGCCTTTAAAAAATTAAAGAAGTCACAGTATTACTTCTTCTTTTTGAAACATACAAAGTCATTATTCTTTGTAAGTGCTTCGCTAAAATACTTGTTATGTGAACTTTGATACAGGGGTTTTCTAATAAATGATGCCTACTAGGAAAACAGGTGAATCACACCTATTCAAATTGATTGGATTCGGGAATCCCTAATTTACTAATCATACGCGAGCGATCTCATTTGCAGGAATGCGTTTTTGATTGTGCTCGTCGGACGACTGCCTCGTCGGTTTTATAGGTATTGGAAAATAATTCTAATGGTCAATAAAATAAACAAGAAATAGATAATAAAGACGTGTCTTACTGTGGGAATTGTTCCCGAGGGAAATGAAGGTTTGTCGATGACAAGGGTTCAACATTGGGCAATAGTCGGTGATGACGACAGATCCAGTGAAGACCAACAAACGGGCATCGTGTGATGTGAAGTGATAACGCGATTCAAATGGCCATAAACTCCTCGGGTGGAAAAGGCCGTAGGAATGCGATAAAAAAGAAAGTTTGGAGTGAACTCTTAGAATAATAGGGCGAAGAAGGGAAGGTATTCGCTGTCTTAGCTTCCATTACGACGTTGTGGCTCACAGAAGGTTAAAGGCTCTGCTGAATTAGCAAGCAGTTGCATTCTAGCAGTATGAGGTTAGCCAACGTTCAATTTATAACCGAGTTTTTTGGATAGATCCGGTAGGAAATATGGCGGTGAAAGATGGGTGAGGTTTTGCAAGATCCTGACCCTTTGACCATGGGAATCAATGCGACGCCTCAAGCTTCTGCGCCATATCGATTTTAGTAAGGAATATTCTGAAAAAAGCAAAACGCGAGAATGAACAAGATGAGGAATTCGTGGTTATGCATGGAGTTATAACAAGATTTGGCAGTGGGAGGAATGGGAGGAGAGAGGGAAAACGATAGAGGAAGGGAGGAGAGAGGGAAATACGCACTGCACCTATCTTCGAGCCACATGGTTGAAGGTTACTACAAACCTAACATCTCTTAGTATTCATTCCAAACGGCGGCTCCTGGGGCAGCTTTATACTTGGCTGAGGCAAATACATGCTGACGAAGTTGTCACCCAACGAAATATCGCGGAAGATCTCAAAGATTTCTCGTCGAATTGTTTCTTGAGATCCTAGGATTTTTTTTGGGATTTTTTTGAAATTCTTGGAGTTTTTTTTGTTTGGAATCTTTTGAGATATCAAATTTGCGGGTTTTTCGTCTGGTTTATACGGGATTGAGAAACACTGATCACAGTGGTGAACACGTATTCCCATGCGTCTGCTCCTTGAAGATAGTTATGGACCTATCGCTCAGCAGAATATTGGTTACTACTAACTCAGCATTTAGTTCTTCTATAATCTTCCTCTCACATTCCAGCGCCAGCTGACGACTCAGCGTCTACTAAACTGCCTGTATGGAAAAAACAAAGCAGAAGAAGCTCACCTATTGTGCCGTAACATGTAGAGGCCGTCTTCTTATTTGTCATCACGTGTGCTTAGCGTTTGTGGCTTTCGTTTTCCGAAGTCACGCCAAAAAAAATACCCAACGCTAAAGATGGAAGGAGGCAGACGTCGGGTGGGTTTGGACGAAAGGCATTTATTTATTAAGACCACAGAGAATTAGCTCGTGCCGCCGACTGTATGGCAGAAATTCACTAATTTTAAAAGGTTGATAAAGCATTGCCGTTTATCAACCCTTTTTGGCCAATTAAACATTTCGACGATGAAGAACATGCTCGGCTGTGCTTGGGCGACTCCTATCTTATCCTTCTATATATTTGGATTCGCTGAAGTGGGTCTCGCGTGGTAAGCGTCCCACTTGCCATACACCACTCCGCCCCGCAAATCAATACGTATAAAACAAGTCTAATAGCGCCCTTGTGCTCCGCCTTGCTCGCCTTTTTTGATGGTGGTCCTGCTAAGGCCTGTGACCCACAACCTACCCTTACACATAGAGGGATATTTAAATCAACCTACTGATGAGTATTACATCTTCAATTCACTATCATGTGGTAATGGGAAACATGGACTCATATCGTTAGGCCAGCCCAACTGCAATAATTATTTATGGATTTTTGTCAATGTGACGTCAATATTTTTATCATCTCAGGCCGTCTCACTAACTAGCGATGATATGCCGCCATGAGCCATTGTTCCACCTCCACTCATAAATTTTGCAGATGTCTGGGGAGATACATACAGTAGCGGTCAAAAGTGTTCGCCGAAACGGTTTTTCGTGCTTCTCTTTTTTTGCCAGAAAAAATCAATGGTGACCTCGAAAATTTTTCTTTTGAATATCCTGATTCTTTAAGACTTGAGGATATAAAAACACTAGAAAACATAGTATATCAATCTTTGGAGGGCGTTGCTCAAGCGAGAAAAAATAATGCACTGAAAATCGTTTCGGCGAACACTTTTGACCGCTACTGTATGTACCTTTTCCTACTTGCATATTTCTTTCTCGAAGGGATGGGTCTTTGTGGGTGGAATGCCCTCTAAGACCAAGTATGATAGGAGGTCTTTAGCCGCGAGTATTTCACAAAGACATCCTAGGAAATTAGGTGCATTTTAGAGGTTAAATATGAGCTCGAGAAGCTCGGGTTGGTTGACGATTGATGTCTCAACATCGTCAACCAACCCGAGCTGCATCGATGCACCGCAATATGTAGCTCCGAGACAAACATGTGGTCGTTTTTGCAGTGCGACTGTAAACAAACATGAACGCAAACTGTCAACATGGGGCCATGGATTTCGCTGTCTTGCAACTCATTCTCTACGTGAACGTAATGTGTAGGAGAGGAGCAAATTGTTATAGTCTATCCGTGCCACGAGCTCGGCTAGTTGCCGCAAAATCTGCCTGCAGAAATCAAAACCAAGTTTGGTTGAGCAAAAACAATCATAAACAAGATGCACCTTCCCATTATTTCACGGTTCTGAATGGACTTCCATTGCCAAGCGTGTCGTGAAGCTTGAAGAGTCTGATCAACTACAAGGCGGGGGACATAAAAAGAGTCACTCTCCCCAGTTATTTAACCCTTTCGGCCCTGGCGGTGGCAATTGCCACCACCAAATTCAAACGCTTGCATTGCCGCTGAAACAGCATGGTTTTTCTAATCCTGCTAGAGGTTGCTTCAGTCAACCTTCCCCTTCCTAATTATGAGCTAAACCTGCCATTTCATTGTGTGTTGCTGTTACAAGTATTTGTGTACGAGTGCAACAACGAATCGGCGCCGTGGGTTATAGTTTCGTG